AATTTTAACGATTTAACCATAAAATTAAAAAGTTCTTAATACATAGATCAAGTCTACAATTATTTAAAAATTAAAAATTATCTGATACTCTGTTTCATTAATTCAAATCAACGTATGAAATATTTTATAATTATTCATTAATTTGAATTGATAAAACAAAATATCAAACAGTTTTAAATTTTAAAAAAATTGTAAACTTGATTAATTTATTCATTAAGAACTTCTAATTCACTAGTGGAAAAAGGAGCTACTACGTCTCTTCATTCTAATAAGCTCAACGGAACTACTAGTGAACTTGAACTGAGTCAAGTTCAATTTGAAAAAAAAAAGGTTAATGTCATATTCAACTTGAGTTGTGAATTGAGCCAAATGTTGTCCAATCAAATTAAGTCGAGTTGAATTGAATTTTTTTTAACTTGACTCATTTCTAACATTATTTTGACCAAAATTAAAGATAATTGATTAGATTTTTTTAATATTTATTAATTACTCTAATTTGTATTTTAAAATAACATACACCACTTAACGATAATAGAAAGATAATAAAATCTGGATTTAAATATGAAAGATGACTATAATTAAATATTCAAAATCCAATAGTTATAAAATAAATGTTGAATTTGGATATTAATTACAATATAGACTTTTATAAATAATTATTTTTAAAATAAGATTCTCGATTTAAAATAATTATATTTTGAATTTTATTAAGTTTATAATGATTTCATTATTATTTTAATTTCCATAGTTTAATAAACTTTACAATTATTCTGTATAGTTAATAAAATTTCATTTTCAAATTTATTTATATATATATATGATGAGGGTTCAAACGACACCGGTATAACTTTTACTAAGTGTTACACCGCTTAATAACTTTATATTAAATGTGAATTTTGAAAATTCAACCGTTAGATTGAAAGTTCATATCTCTTAGATTATATATGTCAAATTTTGTTAAAATTGAACAACAATTTGAAGGTAATCAAAGTGTTCATATTTTAGTATATTTTAAAATGTATATATTACGTCAGTTTTGTTTTATGAGAATGAAATATCAAATCATCTTGGATTACTATAAAATTTTGTGTATATGATCTAAGAGATATGAACTTTCAATCTAACGGTTTAGATTTACAAAATTCACATTTAATATAAAGTTATTGAGCGGTGTAACACTTAGTAAAAGTTACACCGGTATCGTTTGAACCCTCCTCTATATATATA